GGCCCCCTGAGACGAAGGGGCCCCCAGGTAAGTGTGCTTCTCTAAATCAAGCATGCAGTTATAAAGTAAAAACAAAAAAGCGATGTTGCATCGCATGTTCTGCCGTGCGTGGCCTGGCCCGAGTTGCAACTACTTGATCGCTCAGCACACAACGAGGACTCCTGCAATCTAAAGCGACGCAATCACCGGCCGCCAATCACGCACGAGGCTCACGCCGACGAATTGCACGGATCTGGCACCCGGCACGGGACGGTCTAATTGCTATTTTGCCTAATCGCTTCATCGCCTTAGGACGCCGTCGCCTTGCCGGATTGCCTCACCATCGGTTCACCTCCTTGCAGCGGATCCAGCCACAGCGGCCGCCAGGAACAGGCTACGCGAACAGGATCCATGAGGCCACAGGGAAGTCCGGTGGCAGTCGACGGTCTTCCGCTATCCGCGCGGCCACGTTACGAATGGCAGAGAAAGTTAGCTTAATAGCCTATAAGTGCCTTGATGATATACAAAAATTCATAGATGACGTCGATATTGCGTCTTTTTTATTGCGACAGGACAATGATGATCGACTGAACGGACATTGTTGAGTGGTATATAAACTATTCAGCTTGGGGCATTTGCATCTTGCGAGTTTGACTTAATGTTCGGTAAGGTATTTTTGCTTAGATAGCTCACCACTTATGCCGAATGGTTAGACTATATTTTGTTGATTGAGTACTTTTGTAGATTTTTACTAGTTTCAAATTACCAGTTGTTTCTTTAAATTTCGGCATGTTCATCTAATCTATAAAGTATGCATCCTCCAATTTTATCTATTGAGAAGAAATTGCTGGATGAGGATTAATTAGTAATGATGCATCTCAGAATGTTATGATTTTAAGGTAATATGTATAAATTGTCCAATGCAATATTGATGCATTTGAAATGTTTTTTGGTAATATATAAGGATATCGCCTATTATGTCATAATTATATTAAAGGGCCCCTAATTTTAGTTTCGCCCCGGGTCCCCAAAATGTCAGGACCGGCCCTGCTCTACGTAGGAGTAAATGATAGCCGGGGCGGAGGCATTTCAACGCGGCTTGAGGCAGTACGTCCGTTCGGTTCGATCATGGGATGCGCATGCATGCATGGCCTTCCATTTATTTCCCGCCACGCTGCGCTGCGCTGCGCTGGGTCGATGGTCTCGATCATCACCACCCACCCGACCAGGCCTAGACGAGCCAAGAGGGGTAGGGGGCTCCGGGCTCGATCGATCGATCGAGCAAGGTGGCAGCGGTGGGGGACCGAGCCCTCCGCCCGGCCCCGTTCCGGCGGCAGGTCTAGAAGGCTAGAACTGAGCAGGATGGGAAACGGCGCAACACAGATGGCATGACGGCGAGTTGCATTGCATGCAGGGGCAGCGCAAATTGTTTGACCCGGCCATGCCGGTGACGCCGGCCGTTGGGTCTGCCTGGGTCGGCCATAATGGCGAAGCCGGAACCGGCAGGGATCTCGTAGGTGTACGATGTCTCGCCTTGATTGCGCCTAACTTCCCCGATCGCCGCCGGAGTAGTAGCTAGCTGGTAGTAGTACGCATGCATGCACGGGCTCCCTCCCGGCATCAATTCTCGGCCGCAGCGAGCGAGCGAGGGCCTGCGTCTGCGCTGCGCGCGTCATGTGTTGGGCGCGGCGGTTCTCCCGTCCCGGACTGTCGGCCGGCCGACCGCTGCATGCGCGCCCAGCTCGTTCGTCCGTGCGGCGAGCAGTAATTAGAATCGTCGCCGGTGCCGGAGTGCCTGTACCGGCGCACCGCTTTGATTCCCTTGGCCGCTACGCGTCCAAAAGGTGGCGACGCGCGCGCCCGCGCGAGAGAGAGATCCAGGAGTACTACGGCACCAGATCTTGGAGACAGACAATGCTCTCGCCGCGAGGAATCGGCGTATACGAAGCCCTCTACCCCACACCCTCCTCACCGGTGTGTAAAGTGTATTTGTCGTAGGTTTCAAGAAAGAACCATGCTGTACACAACACAACTTTTCGTACGCTGTGGTGGTGGGGTCCACTGGCCACTACCGGTGAGAGATCTCCTCCCGTTTGAAAACTTCATTATTCATTATTCGTCCACGACGACGGCTCGACGGCGATGGCGTCATCGTGGCCGTGTTGGGAGCCGGGCACAGGCAGGGCGTTGCGCCCGCGTTGAAATTTGGCGCAGCTTGCGTCACGCGCGCGTCCGCGTCGCTCCCTCCCCAAGAGTGGGGCCCAGGTGTTTTTGTTTTTGCGTACTAGTATTTTTTTAGGTTTGTTATATATCGCGTACCGGAGTGAAGTCTATTTTAAACCTTGAGATTGTAGACCTCGTTAGATATGAACCCTCACCTTAAAATTCCTGAAGTCTACACCCTATACTCATGATTCCGGCCTTATCCCGACCCTCTGATTAGTTAAGACCTGTTTGACATACCCGAAAAAAGGCAATCCTACGGGATAACTTTCTCTCTCGCTGAGTAAGTGGACCCACCCGTCATATTCATCTTCTCGCTTGATATATTCTTCCCAAATCCCACCTCATCCGCTCATGCCCAGCCGTTCCCGGACTGGACAGCGGCGGCTGCGGATTCAGGCACCCCTACCTCAAACCTAGGTGCGGTGACCAGAAGCGGAAGAAGGGTGTTCCATGGACGGAGAGGAGCATAAGGTAAGCCGATTGAACCAGAGCTCGCCTCAACCTGAACGACTCGCTCCTCCAGCAGACGCAATGCGGCCAGCTGTGGCGGGAAAACCCATCGACGCACCATCCAGTTTACATAGCTCAGCCACATTTATACGGCCAAGAACCAGACTATACCGATAATCTGAATAAACAGTTCATGAAGCTTGTATTTTTTTGCCAAAGTGTCGCCGGCCGTTGGCTCGAAACAGAAGCTAGCACCGGTCTGAAAATTGATTCGAACGTTTATCTGTCTATTGTTACTAGCTATGTACTAGAAAGTAGAATTAGATTTCGTGCTAAGAACTCTTCGGGCACAGAGTTTATCCATAAACTAGTCCGCATCGTGCTCCTTGCTCCTGCTGCCCGCTGGCGCTCATGTGCATGGGGCTCCGCTCTCGTGATTTATTTTGCGCCATCTCTAGCTTCAGTTCGCCTAGGTCCTGGCATGGACTGCAACGCATGACGTTGTTGACAACGGACGGCACGACGGCGCACGACGCCAGCAGCACGGCACAGGCGCGGCTGCGTTCTGCAGAGCTTCGCGAACACCGGAGTATGGCCGTGGTGGGCGAATCGGAGAACTCGAAGGCGGGTATGCGTTGCCATTTGACCCCGTCAGTGGCGTCGAGTCGCCTGCGCTGATTCCAGGAGAGGGAGAAGGGGATGGGGATAGATGATAGACATGACATGTGGGGCACGGATGTAAGTGAGATAGACTTAATTCCTGGGCGGGGTGGAGCTTTTCCCAGTGCGCCAAACAGGTTCAGGGTCGGGAAAAGACCTGGATTGTAAGTATAGGGTACATATTTCAGGAATTTTGAGGTGAGGGTTCATATCCGACGAGCTCTATAACGTCAAGGTTTAAAACAGACTTCACTCTCGCGCAGGGCCGGCCCTGAGGGGGGGCAGGGGGGGCGGCCGCCCCGGGCCCCCAAGATCCAGGGGCCCCCACCCGCAGCAACTAGGCCTAGGTAAGTTATGGGCCTACGTCAGGAAAAAATAAAAGCGTTGGGCGCTGGGCTTTAGTCTTTGTACGTAGACGCGCCAGCGCAGAAAGCAGCAGGCCGATCGCCCATCCAGCGATGGATTTGTTTGTTATTCCGGGAGCGAGTCCTTCACGTGAAAAAAGGAGTGATCGACGCAAGCCCTTCCAATTCCATCACGGCAATCAGGCATGCACAGCTATTCGAGCCCTAAGCCGCCGACGCCCGATGTTCGTACTGGTACTGCCGCGGACGCCCTCCTTTGTCCTGGTAATTTCCAACCTAGTTAGCTGTTGATTTCAGTTCATAGGGCCCCCATCTGTAACTCTATATAGGCAATTAGGAACACGTACTTCTAATCTAGTTCTCCACTGATTTCAATTCTAGGGACCCGATCTGTAATTTTGTGCAGGCACGCGCACTAACGCTCATCACCGAATCGCTCATCAGGTATCATATTGTCGTTCCTTGATGCATAAGCCGGTACCCTGCAACAGTTGATGCAATATTTTTTTTCAGCATTGTGTATTAAATTGGTAAAATCACAACGAGACACAGGATGTATGCATCGGGTAGCGATAATAGGAATAGTTAGAAGACCATCGATAAATTGGTACAACCACAACAAGGAGATATGCACAAATTTCTCAAGAGTAATAATGGTGCTTGCACCGCTTCGATAAACTAAGAAGATTAGTTGGAGATGGTTGCCATAGAGGAAGAGCAGTAACTTATTGGGAATTCAGAATATGACCAACGAGAACAAAATGTTGACACCAAAATCAGACATAACAATGTAAGTGGCTCCGAGAATGTAGGTAATTCATGCACAAGCACAATCTGCTAGTGTTGATGAATAAACTATTCACACTTGTGGTATTTACGATCCAAGAAATTAAGATAATCTTGATAATAAAGCGAGAGACATCTTAGTTGAGAAAGGGCCCATGAGAGAGGAAAAAAATGGAATACCATGTAGATGAAGAGCAACATGATAGAAAGTAGCTAGTTTATTCAAAAGACGTCGACAAAGTATTTTACTTCTATTGTAAGATCATCTGTTGTAATGTCTGCTATGAAGATTTTCAAGCATGGCCGAGAAGTTGATTGCTATCCTAATATCTGCTTTCCTTATCGCATCTTATTGACTGTGCCCGTGACGGTTGCATCAGCCGAAAGAAGCCTTTTGAAGTTGAAACTATTGAAGAATTATTTGAGGTCAACAATGACTCAGCAGCAGTCAAATGGCTTGGCTATGTTATGCATCGATAAGAAATTATTGGATGAGATTGACATTGACCCCATGATAAGTGACTTTGCATCGAAGAATGTTAGAAGAAAATCTTAAGGTAATAGTATGTATAAATTATTTGATTCGCATACTGATTTTGAATTCATTTAAGTGCTATTGATAATATTTCATATATACATATTTCATTGTTATAATTATGATGTCTATATTAAGGGCCCCGAGTTTTAGTTTTGCCCCGGGCCCCCAAAATCTCAGGACCGGCCCTGCTCTCGCGTACCGTAGTGAAATCGTGGTCGGTTGCGCCGGGCACGTGGTCGCGGTGGTTAAGATGATGGAGGTCCAGGTGCGTGTTGATTAATACCGCTGCCCTCACAACGGTGTGCATATAGTGCGTGTGTGTATTCATAGGGATGAGTGTATGCACGTATACAAGGACGGAGCTCCATGTATTCACTGGTGTCAATTGACACCAGTGCCTTCTGGCTTTTCAGCTAATAGTATTAACAAAATCTGCGTATGACCCTAGCCCAAAAATTCCATTGACCCCAGCCCAGCAGCAGACCGCTAATCCCTAAAGCCTTAGCCCATAAAATCCATTAAGTTCTAAAAGAAATCAACAGCATGCGGCAGCAAACAACGATACAAGGCCAGGCCCAATGCGTACGCACTATGTATCAATTAATCAATGTACGCTACCCGGCTGCTGTACGCGTACGCGAACGGACAGACGCCCTCGTTTCTTCGCCTCCTCATCTCGAACCCTAATTCCGCGGCCGCCGCAGCGAATCGGCGACGAACAACGGCGAACTCGACACCGTTTCATCGGGTGAATGTTGACATCGGTTGACCTTCCGCCAGTGCATAATCTTTAATTTGCAAGTGTTGGCTCTTTCAATCCCAGGTAATTTGCACCTTCTCTCTCGCCTCTCGATCTCTAGATTGTCTACAGACTACGATTCTACATGTGCATTGATTTCATGATGGCTATTGGCTAAGTAAATTTTTTAGTTTATTTTCTTTGATTTTCAAGATATGGATAAATTATTGTTGAAAGGGAAACGACCAGCACTAGATAGTAATGTGGCAGGGCCTTCAAGGCCAGTTAGACCAGCACTTGATTTGCTATGTGGAAAAAGACATATTTTCTACAATAACGAATGACGATGTGATTGATCTATTTAAGAAGATGAAAGATTGAGAAGGGAAGTTATGAAATGTGAGTCTCGTATCACTTTATTTTTTCCTTAACGATACTTATTTTTTGCACTATTTCTTTCTTATTATATATGTTCTTTTGTTCATCCTTTACAAAAGGTTACAAATGAAACGTTCCAAAGTCATCCTTTTGCCTATTATTTCCCGAATATGTAAAGAAGTGTTATTTTATGACTTTGCTCAGCCAATACTCGCTACTCGGTATGATTTTTTTAGATGTACTAATAATATCACTTGCATATTGTTGCTTTTTATATCGCTCTCGACCATTATCTATGTTGTTGCACCATTATAATTTCTGCTAGCGGCTTAGCGTGGGAAGCGGTTGACACCAGTGCCCATTTTTTCTAGCTTCGTCCCTGCGCGTGTATATAAACGCTTGCGTCTGTACTGTGTTAAAAAAAAACTGACCCACTCTATTGATTCCGTAAAACAATATCCGTGCATATAGCATTGCTTGGCAAAGAGTATGTACACTTCAGCTCACAGAGGGCATGGAGGATGCGCTATAATGGGCTTGGGAGGGGGATGGGCGTTCCTTTTCCACTCGGCTTATGCGGCAATGTTCATGGGACTTGAGTCCTCACCGACAGCGCCCTTCACCTGGCAGTCGCGAGCCCCCCTCAAGTGACGCCTCTTCGCTTGGCTTGCCATCAAGAATCGTTGATGGATGTCGGATAGACTGGCACGGTGAGGGCTCCCACATCAAGTTGCATGCCCACTTTGAGATCAGAAGGAGGAGACCATACTTCTACTAATCAACTGTGTGTTTGCAAGGCAAGTATGGCACTGGTTCATGGTGGGTACTGGTCGACAAGGGTTCGATCCCAGGATTGACGAACCCTTGGAGGAGTGGTGCATCAGACAGGATCAGGAATGGAAGCAGAGTTGATCCACACGCGCCAAGTGTCACCTTGGAATGTGGACGGTACGAAAACATTGAAATGACATCGTCTGCAGCGGAGCAACGCCATCGGTGTCTGCCTGCATCAACCAGATAAAAGAGCAGGGCGGACTATGAGTGAAGGCTGGCCTAATCAAGGAGGCGGATGGCTCACCGTGGGTTGTTTGTGAGTAGGTAGTTCGCGTGAGTTTGGTGGTGTTGGGCAAAGCTCAATTGTAAATATTTGTACAGCCGTACACTTTGGCGAGTCTTCCCCCTCTTCCCTAATGAATGATACACATGCTTGTGTGTATTTGAGAAAAAAAATACTACTGCCCGTGCCTCACGTACTCCCTGTATGAAGCATCAAATCCATGGTTTTTTTGCGAGAAAATTTCCGATCTATTCATCAACTGTCAAGGCAGTACAAAGAACTCTAGAGGTAAAAATTGCATCCATGTTCGTAGACCACCTAGCGACGACTACAATGACTAGAGCGAGCCGAAGGTGCGCCGCCGTCATCGCCCCTTCATTATCGGAGCCGTGCAAACCTTATTGTAGTAGACAATCAGGAAGTAGTTGTGCTAAGGCCCAAGAGGACCAGCGCACCAAAACAGCAGTCACCGCCGATCAAGAGAAATGTAGACCAAAAGGATCTAACCTGAAGACACACGAACACATACGAACGAAGACCGGATCCAAGTGGATCCACCAAGGACAAAAGCCGACCGAATCCCACGAGACCCGTCGGAGACAAATCTTTACACACCCTCTGATAATGCTAAACGCATCACCAAAACACTATTAAGGTGTTCGACACTTTGCTCATAAGGTACCATGAATAGCAGGGACATGTATTTCACTACTGGGAAAGGCCTTATAGGTGAACTCAATAGAGTGGCGGGCGGGCAGGCCAAGGCACCCGCCACAGCTAGTCAGGAGAAGCAGCAGTGGCCGGTAACATAACGCGACCGCCAGAGCTAGGGGCACTCCAGTGGCGGGCGATATACGTCACCCGCCACAAACAAGCACTGTTGAGCGTGGCTATGTTATGAATTTTTTTATGGCAGATGGCCAGACTTACCCGCCACTGTTGTTACATACAGCAGTGGCGGGCAAGACATAGTCCCCGCCATAGCTAAAAGCCTCCAACCGGCTATGTATATATCTGGCCGTGCCCACAACACATAGGCTAGCGGCAGACTGTTCAAATTCAACTGAAGTATTGTCGCCCGCCACCCTAAATTAGCAGTGGCGGGTTGTGTGGCGCGCCCTTCGCAGGTGAGGAGCACTATCTGCACGCGCGCCCCCTCCCCTCTCTACCCTATCACTCTCACTCTCACACTCTCCCTCATCTCGCTCTCGTCGCCGCCCTCGCCCTCCACCGCGGTGCTGCCCACGTCCTCGCCCTCGCCGTCCTCTACCCTCATCCTCGTCGTCGCCGTCCACTATCCGCTGCCACCCTTGCCCTCGCCATCGCCGTCCGCTGCCGACGTCGTCCTCGCCCTCCACCGCGTCGCCCTCTCCCTTGATCTGCCACCCCGTCGCCCTCCACTCCGGCAGGTATAAGGTCGTCGTCCCTGCTTGTATTTCCGGCCGTCCTCGTCACCACCCGCCACTGCAGCCACCACACATACAGACATCCGCATCAGCACCCACGTTTGACTAGGGTTAGGGTTTCATAGTTGTACTTTTAGTTTTTAGTTTGTAGGTACTTATAGTATCTAGCTAGTTTTAGTGTGATAGTAGTAGTTTCTAGTTGTATAGTTTTTAATGTACACATTAAAACAAAATGTAGTTGTACTTTGATATTTCTAGTTGTATTTGGATAAGTTGTAGTTTATAGTTGTAGCAATCAAAACTAGCCAAATTGCTTCGATAGTTGTAGTTTATAATTTCGGCTCTTAATGTGTGCATTTTTATGAAGTGGTCATGCCAAATTGCTTTGTTTATTTTTTATTCATATTGTGTTGTAGTAGATGTCTTCACTTCTTTACAGGGATTCATAATATAAGCACTAAAGTTTTGGCGAAACGTTGATGTATTTCCGCTTCGCCAAATTTCTAGCTCTCGACTGTCCATTTTTATGTAGAGGTCATGCCGAATTTTGTTTGTTTGTTTTCAATTCATATTTTGTTGTAGTACTTGTCTTCATTTCTTTACAGGGATTCATAGTATAGGCACTAATTTTTTGGCTTCGTTTCGCCAAATTTCTAGCTCTTAATATGTCAATTTTTATGCACAGCTCATGCCAAAATTTTTTGTTTGTTTTATTGTGATATAGTAGATTTCTTCAGTTATTTTGCAAAATTTATCTATCTGCATGTTCTATGTCATTTTTCCCGAAATGGCGGACAACGACAGGTACCGTGGTGTTTTCCGGTGGCCCTGGGGAAGTGGGGCGCCCAAATCGAAAACCCTGTCACTGTCAAGAAACAATGGCTCGGCTCGTTCATCTTTGCCGAGGATGCGGCACATGCTTACGATGCCATGGCGCTCGAGTACCAGGGGCGAAGGGCCCAACTCAACTTTCCTCAGGATACTTGGCGCGCGAGTGAGATAGCGCCTCCTGACATGAGGATAGTCTCCAAGACCAAGGAACAGGAGCACCTGAAGGCCAAGGCACTCATTAGGGTCCATGAACGCCAGAGCACCGATCTCTTGGTGGAACGGTATGTTCGGAGGGATCCACATTTGTACTTCTTTAACGAGGCGTTGCTGATGACCGCATGCAATCTGAAGGATGCTGAGGATGACCCGATAGACTGGGACAATCTCGCCAAGGAGTCCGACGAGGATGACGATGACGACTGAGAGGTGGCCTCCTCTGGTATTTCTTTTCTTCAATATTTATTATATATTTCAAAATAATTATCTGTGAAATTTCAACTCATTTGGAGATGTGCAGAATAGGTATCTCTGACATAGCTTTTTCAGGTCCAGAATTCCAGCTGCCGACATTCTTTCTCTTTGTGTAAACCTTGCACATTATGAGAGA